CCACTTAACACCTATTTGACTGGCAATAATTACTGTGCATAAAGGAGTTTAAATATATCTTAATACTAGTATAGCAGGAAGCATTATAACAAGACAAGCAAAAACTCATTCTCTAACCCAAGCAAACAATGTGGGACTTCTCATTGCTACATGTGGAAATTTGCTCTGGTCATGCTCAGAGGGTGTTAGGACTAGGAGCTAAAAGATGCTTTAGAATAAATTAGCACAATTATAAATCTGACAAGAAGATTAATATTCTAACTATGTTCACAATAATTAACTCACCAAAACAGTTCCAGAGTCATTATCCAGCTAGGGTGGAATGGGAAAGTTTACAGCACCCCTGTAGATTTATAAGCCAATTAAGGGTGACCCTCCTCTAGACTTCATTAGAAAAGCCTCTGGTTCAGCAAAAGCTCACACGTGCAAGTAAGAAGTTTCCCAATGAAAGGGGATGCAAGGGATCTTTATCACCTCTATTAAACACTTTTCCTGCTCTCCTCGAAATTACATATTCCTAATGCATCCTCAGCCTCCTGCCAACTCTCCAGGCCTCACACAGCATCCTTGCACCTGTGAGAAGCACAACACCACTGGGGCACTGCTCCAGGAGAGGTGCTCTGGCTTATTCCCTGCATGACCAAGAGGTCATGGTCCAACACTAGAGGAGCACTTCAGATCCTCTGATGCAGCTCTGGGGTCAGGGCTCACAGCCCCTCTCCCACCCAGAGCCATCTTCTGCCTTCCATGTGCAGTGGACAGCAGATTTATCAGAAAGTTCACCAAGTCTCTGATACCAGCTGACCATTACCAACCAGCACACTCCTGCTCAATGTGCACTAGATGTGCATGGGCCTGCACAGAGTGTGAACTATCTCTGTGTGCTATCTATGCCATTTTCCCTCTTCATTGCCTTCTGCACAGATTCATTGTTCTAATATAAAAGCCTTCTCTGCTACTGTCAGAGAAGTCTGCCTTTATCTCCAATTCCACAAGCTCTCCTTCTTCTTTCAAACTTTGTATAAAGAACATCTCTTTTCTCCTTTTGTTGCATGCATCTATGCCTGTTTCACCCCTTCCTTTGTGCCTTCCTGCATAATTGTGTTTTTCAGCCTTGCAAAGTATTTTTCAATATAGATAGCATAAAAATTGCAATCTAAAATGAAATAGCATTGTATCACAACCCACACTTTTTTTCCCAGTAAAATACACAATTTGGACTGACTCAAGCTGTGATGTGTATGCAGGTAAAGCAAATGCTGAATTATTCAACACTTAAAAACACTGAAAAATCATTTACTTGTTACAAGCAATAAGATTTATGTTTTATGTCTCCCAATCAATAGCTAGTGTGTCCACACATAGCTGATTTATCCATATTGAAAATATAATTATAAGTCTAGTTTGCTCTGAACCAGAGAGTCCTTTTGTAACAAGATTATTTAAATACAAATAGGGTTGGAAAATTGGTTTTAAATGGCTAATCTGTCTTGTCTTCAACTCCAGCTGCAGAATTTACTAACATCATAAACACAGGCTGAGTGAAAACTTAAAAGGTTTTCTGATTCTCCCCGCGATCTGTCTATGCAGTCCTCATTAACAGGGAAGTTGATGGGAGCTGTATGCAAGCTGGGAGAGGAGGATAATAAGCCTTGTAATCTCTATAAAGAGAAAGGGACTTTTACTGGTGATATGTCATATATGCTGGTGTGCAGACATCTGTCTTATTGGCAGCCCAATAAAGAATTTATGTGCCCAGGTCTCCAATGCACTGCAGAACATCTCTGCCATATGGGTGGACCAAACTTATACCCACTACAACTCCTCAGAGCATCAGAGCACTTGCAATAGGGACCATCAGGCATTCTTGGGATCATTAAGAAAAGTTTAATCTGGACAGACTTACTTAGGGATTATTGAAGGCCCTGCTGCCTTCCTGCTGTTCCCACCACATGTGGTCAATGGCCCGGTGATACGCAGCAGGGAAAGGCTGGGCCAATGCATGCTCCTCCAAGAGAGCACTGCAGCATCACCAACTGGGAATACACCACGGCTTTCTCTCTGAGTCATGCACATAGGCTGGGAGAAAAGGCAAATCAAATCTGACTTGGCTTGAGTAGAAATTAAGAACTGGTAACTTGTCACCTCACCCTGACAGAGGAAACTACTGCCTTAAATCCCTTTTGACAGACCATCCCACGCACCCCAGGAAAAAAAATGCAGTGTTTAACTGTTAATTTTCTTCATACCAGTGTAATTGGTACTGGGGGCCTGGTTTGGGTTTGTGCTGAAAACAGTCTTGATAACTGAGGGATGTTTTCACTCCTGCTGAGCAAAAAACGTCACTGAACCAAAGCCAGCACAGACAGAGATTCCCAAGTCTGGAACTCCCACACTTGTGACAGATTGGTACAGTGTGCACTGCCACAGATTGTGACAGTGGAGGCTACCCTGGGGGCTGCTTTCCCAGCCCTGTGAAATAGTCCACTACCTTAAGTCAAGGGCAAGGGTTCTTTCCTAGGGGTGTGCAATGCAAAACTTCCCTCACAGCTATTCAGGAGCCAGATGTTCAGGACAAGTAGCAGGTTGTGCTTGCCCTCATTTCATCCAAGGGTCTGAAAAAACTTTTAACATTCAGCTGGACAGCACATTTCTATGTTTCTTCTTAGTTGGAAAAAACCCTAAGGAAAGGATAACTGCCAATAAAAGAGGAACACTGCATAATTTAAAATTATAATTCTATACATGCTTCTGAAAGCCTCTTTGGCTTTCCTCTCTGCACTCTGAATGGCTCTCTAGATCTAATTTAATTCAGTGAAGAAAATCCAAAAGTGCCAGAGGAAAAAAAAATCAACTTTTTTTTTAGTTAGAATAAAAATTGTACAGAAGGAATTCTTGATCTTCATTAATTCCATGGGTAGGCATACAAGCTCCTAAGTGTTAATGAGACTTGCCAGTTTAGGTGGACTAAAGTGTCTAATGAAATGTCAAATGAGCCCACTTTGGATTTACATTATCAGATACTTCCACCAGGAAATTTTGGTGAGTCATCCTAACAATCCCTTCAAGCCCTCTGGGAACACAGAGCAAATGGTTCTTCTGGACTAGAATTACATTACTGGCTCACTTGGTCAGTGTGACTCCCAGAAACTAAGGTAATGGGAAAATTATCCAAATCCTCTGTTTCCTTTTCCACACCCAAAGTCTATTCATTTTTCCCAAATTATAGAGAAAACTATGCCCTGTAGTCTATGGTGGTTTCCATTAGAAACATACAAAAATTATCTCTACAGAAAGCAAGCATCCATGTCTGCTGAGGCTTTGGAAGTTGTGTCAGTTTCTGCCCTGAATCAACTTCAAGCCTGATCACTCTAGTAAAACAAGAGAGCCCAGGCTGCTCATAAATCCTAATTCACTGTTAAATGCCTGCTAGGCTTGTTCTTATTCTCATGTGCAATATTAGGTACCAGATAAGAAACTCATAAATTGAATCCTTAGGGTATTAAGATTTGCTGTGGTAAATTCTACTTGTTGTCTTTTCAAGTTTCCCTTTAACAAGAAAAATTTAGAAAAGAAAAAGTGTTTCCAGAAAGAAAAGGACTGAAAAGTTTAACATGTAATAAAAAAATATTTTGTCCTAATACAAAATTTTAACAATCCACATAATATTTTCAGGCAAAGAAGCACTTAACTGACACCAAATCTGTAAAAATATCTCAGTATGAATTTCAGATTCCCAGGGGTGGAAGTCAAGAGACAGATTAAATGATCACTATATTCAGTCCAAATTCCACTGCTTTTAAATATATAGATATATAATATGTATATATACATACTATATCTATATGTAAGCATCAGAGCAAACACAGCCTAACATAACATTTTAAGTGACAGGTGAAGCACCTGACAACTTTATGACCATCTTAGGACCAAAGTTGCTTTTCTAAGGGAAGAAGGATTTCATCAGCTTTCCCTGAATCAAACTGTGATAGAGCAAAGTGATGATACAATGGATTTTAGATGTACAGAAGTTCACCTCCCTGTACATGCATCTCCACTGCTACCACACCCTTGGGGAAAAATTAAGTAGCTCTTCTCCCCGCTTCTTGCTGTACACCAGCTCTCACCACTCACAGTCACTATGTTTTGGAAGCAAAATCTGCTTTTGTGACACAGCATTTAAACAGGGTATTAACCAAAGACAAAACATAAGTGTACTTGGTTACCCTTAACACACTCTCCTTTATTTTCGTGAAGAATCTGATTCTTTTAACACCACATATTTTCATGCTACTAGGGCTATTGAGGCACAGAACTACAACACATAGCATGGGGAGAATCCCACAATTTTTTACCCATTCACTAACAATTGACATTTTCTGTACAAAAGGAAGGCTTGTAAACTTTTCCATCCACACCTGTGGTGCCACTGCTGCCCCCAGGCACTCCTACCAACAGCACTTGGCTCAGCCACACACTGAACTTGTGACACAGCAATGGTCAAGTTTGCATTAAAGTATTAGGAAAAGCTCTAATCACTTTTAGTGTGTTTCCTAAATCATCCCACAACCCATGCTGCAGCTCCAGCTGAGGAACAATTTACCACCCATCTTCCCCAGCATGATCTCTCTTGTTCTGGCCAAACACGTGTAAGGCATAGAATTAATTTTCATCTTTCCTGGAGAAAGCACGGAGGTGATTAGCCCCATTTACCCTGGTGTGCCTGAATCAGAGCCAACCAGGCACAAAAGCACACAGGTCATTTTAAGTGCCCCGATCATCCTCATAATCTGAAATGCAATGTACTCCTGAGGGCCTAAACTTGTATTACACAGACAGTCGGTGACATAACCCATTTAGATCAAACATCCCACGGAGTCTCTGCTCCCTCACCACACTGCAGCACTGCTCAATGTGAAACCAGAGCTGCTTCTCCAATCAGCCAAACGAGCCTGAACCAGAGAGCTGTGGGGCCAAAGGCACTGCCAGCCCAGACCTACCCAGACGGCGTCGTCCTGTCTGTACTGCCTCCAGTTGCGGCCGGTGTCGCTGAACATCAGCGCGTATTCGGTCACCCAGGCTGAGCTCCCGTACCTGCCCTGGGTGGCCACCGCCACCACCTCCACTCTGTCTCCCAGATCAACCTGCAGCCACTGCTGCTCGTTGGACTCCAGCGGGGACCAGCCACCAGCTCCTGAAAGATTGGATGAGGACGATTTAGATGACAATGGCAGAAAAAAAAATTATGCTTGATAAAGAACTGTTAAATTATTTCAGGTATCACAGAAGACTCTACTTGAGCATGCAGATGTTTATTCATATTTTAGTATTAGGAAATACACTATATGAGGTGTGCTTCCATCAGGTTATCTCCATTAACCTAAAGCTCATGAGGAATTTTAAATTTCTAAGACATTTTAAGGAAATTTATTCTTTTTCAGCTGTACAAACATCAATGAGATTGGCTCATGCTAAATCACAAAAAAAACCCAAAAAAAACATATCTATTCCCTCCTTGCAGTTCTGGGAATGTGAACTTGTAACTTGCAGTTTGCTTTGATATTTTCCTTTTTGCTGTGTTCTGAAAGAAATGGAAAATGTTAGTTATTTTTATTTGAGCCCTATTAAGTATTTGAAAAAATTGTTTAATTACAGCTTATAAATGCATTCCAGATAATGTGTTGTAAAGCTAGAAACCATTTGATTGAACAACTAAACGGACTGCCTTCACACTGGAAAGCAGGATGTCTCTGACATGAGCTTGTAATTCCTGTTTGTCCTTTGGAAGTAAAGATTGGCACTATCCCTTGAATTCCTTCATTGGATAAACAGTCCTGTGGTAACACCAAGCCAGTGAAACAGAATTGCAACCACTGTTTGCATTTTACCACTTTGCCCACTACAATAAATGGAAGATTATGATTAAAAGGCAAACCATTCCAGACTGTAATATATTATTTTATGGTCTCCTGCTTTCTTTTACACCCTAAAACTACAGGCTATGTTTATTTTCCTTTAACTTGTTTCTCTTTGCACACATTTAGTCTCTGCATACATCCAGTATTCAATTCAGCCTCACCAATAAGCAACCAATGCAGCTACGAAGAACACAAGCCATCAACCAAGACTGCAAATTTTGAGGCTGCCACTGCTTCTGCAACCCAACACCTTTTTGTTTTGTCATTATTAATGAAGTATGGAAAAGCACTCCAGTATGACTACAGTGAACACAATCACATTGGGAATAAAACTGAACATATCTGTCTCAAAGTTGCTGCATGAAAAGTTTATTGAAGTGAATAGAGTTGAAAGATTAATAAATGTGGTTTCCATCAATGAACTCAATTTCAATAACTCTGCACTTCTAGTTTTTTTTTCCTGGATGGTATTGTACTTTCTAACTCACAACTGAAATCCCTTTGTCTAAGAGTAGGTGTTAGAATTGTCATAATTTACAATTTATTAATATAGAATTTATCTGAACTCCTGAAACAGAACCATATCTATTCCATACCTGTATTGTTCCTGCTCCCCTGGATGACTCAGCCTCCATTCTTCTACAAGAACTCTCCAGGGGAAAGGAGTTTGCAACCAAACCAACATATACTGCTTCTTAGTTCCATGATTTACCCTCTTCAATCACAACAGAAGTCTTCACCATCACTGATTATTTTACCTGCCTTAAATAGAATACTCTGTCCTATGAGCATGCCATGAAACACCTAATGAGAATACTAGGAATTTCATCACTGATTTCTTCGTCAACTACTTTACAGCTCTTTTAACTCCATATCTATATACAGCTTATATAATACCTCCTGTTAAAGATCCTAACAAGCCTGCCTCCCACACCACCATTTTTTTATTTTGATATTTTAAGTGCCATATAGAAAGTATGTTGTCTGCCTTTAAGGTACAAACTACAGAGCTGTATTCAAAGACAACAAACTACAGATTTCTTCTACACACAATTGTGGCTATTGCACACAGGAACCAAGGGCAAGGTTCCTTTGGATTGTAATATCCAGTATCTAAAATAGACTCTGAACAGAGTAGTTGCTGCCTTTTTTTTCCCCAGTTTTATTCCAGGAACTGATATAAAAATCTGCTTCAGAAGTTCTGGCAAAGTTGTTCCATTCATGACTCAAAAGAGCCTATTCTAAATGTTTTCAGCACATATTAAAAGAAAGTTGGCATTTTCATCTCTCCTTCATTCAACATAGAGAATGACAACTAGATGAAGGAAAATAACATACAACAAAAATATTTGGTGAGTTTTCCATTAAAAAACACAAAACTTTGCTTTCTATGTTCTAGGTTTATACATAAATTCTTAAGCCAAGCCTGTTAGCACAGATGCTTCCCAGCAGTATGTCAAACATCATAACTAAATATCTACTTTATGCTTTCTCCCTTCTGCTGCTAGAAGTGGCAGGAATGTGATATGCTTTCAACAAAAGTGTTTGGCTTTACTGTGCACTGCTATTTTCCAGCTTGAGCACAACACCACAGGCTTCTAATTTTCAAGTCAAACAAATGATACACACTGAACAGAAATTTGGGAGACCTGTGCTGAGCTTGAGCCCTAAAATCATAGATTGCATGGTATCACTGAACTGCATCTCTCTTTACATGACAAGCACATTTGTCTGCTGGGAATGTCACTCTCTAGATGCAAGCACTGCAGACACAGCACTGCCACCTGCTCGTAGCATCACCTCTCCAAAGCTGATCTTCCAAGAAAGATTAGTTACAGGCCATGTCTTTACAGAACAGCAGCTGCTCCATATATTTTTTCCTGTCGAGAAGCAAGCACACTGTGTTTCCCCTCTCCCAAACTTTCCACCATTACCATTTCCACAGGTGGACAGTAATTCTACTGCTGGTAAGAATACCAGCTAAAATCCCAGCAACAGCAAAGCTGCATTGGCTGCATGACTGAGGGCAGAACTGAAGCTTTTCCCACTTGTGCTAATAAAGCAAACATGCTTGCTTCTGTGGTTGTCCCAAATTCTCACCAAATACTGCTGTGAGTGCCAAAAATCAATAAATGTTCTTTTTCCTCCACATTTACTCTGTCATACAGAGCAGGTGGCACAAGGGATACTGGCATTTCTTCCAGCACAGTCTGTGTCTGCACACTTCTTTTATGTACATCTTTCCTGATAATGTGTCAACAACCCATCCTGTACCTTTTTTAGTAAGTAGCAAAAAAGTACAACCAAAGCAGAGCAACTATTTAAAGCCTTTTGCTCCTGTCCCCACCTTGATGCTTGCCCTGTGGACTGTTTGGCAGCACAGACCCAAGACAAAGGACAAGAAGGCTCTAATGAGCAACAACATGGGCTACCAAAGACACAACTTACAGGACATCAAGTCCTCTGAACAGATTCAAGCATAACTCAACATCTTTTTCCTGCAATTGGACACAAACATATTGAAGAGGACATACTAACTATTTATGCCACAGTTAATAAAAATTAATAACTTTTATTAACTATGGCATAAATGCAAACCAGACAAAAATTTGGCTTTGATTATGCCCATGAGATCTGCACACGTTTTAGGTGTGTTAAGATGTCACATTGTCTCTCACACAAAAATGAAAGAGACAGGATGCTCAATATTTCCCCTTTCTGCCCACCAGGTTCCCACTGGCATCGACAGGATTCTGCACATTGTGCTACACCATCATTCCTCACAGCTCACACGTTTCACATCTTCTGGGGATCATTTCAAAGGAGGCATTCAACATGGTATGGCATGGGGAAAATACCCCAGTGGAGAAACAATACCACAAGAATCTGATATATTGCTCATATTCTCCATGGCAACGAACCATAATGTTAGAAATATGTGGAGAGGAAGGATCTGATGGTTTCTCAGTTGGAGACCCATATGATTCTAAGAAATATGATCAAATACTTTTGTTTATTTTTCAGACTGTTTGTACATTTTGCCACAGTTGTTTCAAAAAGTGCATTTAAGCCCAGTGTTACACAGTCAATGCTTTTTGATGTTCCCCAGGGCTGCTCAGGATGCCCACACTTATTTGTAGTTGATTATTACAAAGCAAAGGGAATTATTATTTCCACCCTACCTGCCTTACAAACAGCTCAAATGGCTTTATATACAATATATATCACTAAAAAATCCTGGACTTCCCACTGCAACTAAGTGCTTCCCTGCTGCAGAATTTTACTTTAATGCCCAGATCAAACACTTCTTGGCCATAAAATAAATTCTTTTTGACACTATATATGCTTTATATTCCCATACATAATTGTATATACTGACTACTCAGGCTGAGAGCTAATAAGAACTGAAAAATCTTAGGTGATACAGTCATACTGTAGCAATTTTCTTATTATTTTTCATTATTTATTTACTGTATACAAAGAAGCTGATAAATCCTTCTCATGGGAAAATAATATATTTCATACCTCAGAATTATATTTATCAGAATTATACTAGCTCTTTAGCATTACCAGTACAGATTTATCAGAATTTTAATTAAGCACTTTCAGCTGTTCACACAAAGCTTTACTCATGGGTACTTTTTGTGTTTGTTTTTTAAATGGCACATTCCACTACTGCAGGCCTTTTTTTAAAAAAACAACAGCCTTTTACTTATTGTTATCTATTACTGAATAAACTTGATGAATTAGAACTTTATATCAATAAAGGACTGGGTTGTGCTTTATAAATTCATCTTCACTTGTTGCATTCATGTTTATATTAACAAATACATTCATCTGGCTTCCTACCCAGAGGCCCTGTTCCTTGCAGCACTGTCTTATCAATTACAAGCAAAGCTAAGCCAACTCATCAAAACATTCAATACTATCGGAAAGCCACATCCCAGTCCTTGTTAAGAAATATTAATTCCTGGAAAGATATTTACTATTTGCATTCAAGTGACAGTCAAAGAAAGTTTCTACAACCACCATCTGCCCCTGCTTGCTCCTCCAACCCAAGGTCAGGCACTGCTCTGGCAAGAGTAGACTTAGTTCTTTCCACAGTACCTGGTACAGGGCTAATTGTGCTGGAAACAGTGTCTACAATACAGAGATGTGTCTGTTATTGGTGAGAACTGCTTACACTGCCTTTTCTGCTCCTCACACCACACCACTGGTGAGAAGGGTAGGGGTAAGCAAAATCTGGGAGTGGACACAGCCCGGACAGCTGACCCCAACTGACCACAGGGTTATCCCATCCCACACAGCACCATGCATCACTTACAGCCAGAGGATGCAGGAGGAGGAAAAGGGATGTTCAGAGTGATGACTTCCCTAGTTCAGAGTGATGATTTCACTTTTACTCTTGTGATTCTCTGTCCCATCCCACCAGAGAGAGTGAGTCGCTGTGCAGGGCTGAGAGCTGGGGTTTGTCCAGGACATGTGCCCAACGTGGGCCTCAAAGGGTTTGAGAAAATTGCAGATTTGTATGGAATGTACTAGATTGAATTTACAGCTGTTACTGCTGGTCACCTATTAATCAGCAGCTTTGGTGTTTGCCATGGGGCTTGCTTCCCTTACTGCTTATTAGAGTCTACTGCTCATTAGTAGCTACTTTTTGCTTTTGGTGGTTGCTGTACTGCTTATCATCTGACTGCTGGGCCTGGGAACATTTTGATAACAGCAGTGCCCATGCTCCTGGACTGGCAGGTGGCCAGGGCATCTCTGCTGCTCTTGTGCACTGGGCAGGCTGGAACTCCAGTGTGAACTCAAGCCAAAGGGGTGTGACCTGTGGACGAATCCCTGTGGCAAAAGGACAGCCCAGGTGGCTGTGGCTGTGAAGAAGCCCATGCCAGAGCAGGCACACCTCAAAGTGCCTGTGACTGTGGTTACAGCTGTACCACAGCTGCTACCTCTGAAGGGACTGTGGGCCAGGGGTAAGTGTACACTCCCTGAAGCACCATGGCTGAGCATGAGGCGATGCTGGAGTATGTCAAAGCCCACCACAAAGCAGGGACTGCAGCCATGGGAAGGCAGGAGCAGGTTTACTTCTAAAAGGACTGTGGCTGTGGTAAAGCCATGCTGTAGTGAGCAGCTGTGTGGGGCTTCATTGTTTTTGAGGGTTAAACCACAGCAAGTCCCCATATGAACTCTGCCAGCACTACAACTGCACATTCCTACACAAGTCCAGGCAGCAAAATAATTAGACAAGGTAGAGTTTAGCTTCTAGGTCCCTGTGTTGGCCTCAGCTCATCAGTTATCACATAAGCATTCAAAACATGAAACAAAAGTTGCTGAAACAACCCTCTTACTTAGGGCTTGGTTTCAATACTCTGTCTTCTGTTCCCATGACTAGTGCTAAAAGACAGCATGGACCTTACCAATGTGATACTGGATTGCTAAAAAAATTACAGTATCTTACCCCTCACTACATGACAAAAGTACTGTGGGACAGTTAACTAAGACCTATTTCAATTTCTGAAATTAAATTGAAACAACTGTCATCATTTCAAACATTGTTAGTATCTATTTAATACAGAGTATAGCTAGACCTTGACTTGCAATACTGATTTTGAACCTCTTCCTCGACAGTATTTTACCCCTCACTACACGACAAAAGTACTGTGAGACAGTTAACTAAGACCTATTTCAACTTCTGACCTTAAATTGAAACCACAAATTTCAAACATTGTTAATATCTATT